GTAGTAGTAGTAGTAGTAGTAGTAGTAGTAGTAGTAGTAGTAGTAGTAGTAGTAGTAGTAGTAGTAGTAGTAGAAGCAACAACAGCATCAACAGTATATCGGTGTGTGATTCTAAACAGTTAAATTCTCTTCTTACTTACTGTTAGAAAACACTTTCCCTGTCTGTGCCAGTGCCTATTGCAATCATGAATAATCCACTTCCACTTCTAGTTTCAAGCATGGTGCTGTGCGAATTTGAGAAAACGAAACTTCAACGACGCTTCGTAGTATTAAGTCGTATTATTCGAATACTTTGTTTGAATGCTAGCTTCTTTTGTTGTTGTTGTTGTTGTTGTTGTTGTTTTTTTTTTCTGTTGTTGTTATTGTTGCTTTTGTTGTTATTGCTGTTGTAGTTTTCTATTATGTAAGTCCATTAGCAACGTCCCCAATTCAATAAATATTCACTATTCATAGCTATATTCGCTGAGCTCGCGATGACACGTATGAGTCGCAATACGATAACGTCCCATTCATTATTTTTCGAATTTTGAATAAGGGAAGGAGAGCTCATTGTGCCGGCTTACTGTGAATTATTTGCTCCGCTTGAGCTATTCATTGCGTCTTTGGTGAACATTGAAGAGTAGTAAATTACTTTTTTAAACTCTTGTTTGTTTTGGTAAGTGTTTTACAGCGCTCGCAACTGCATAAGGCCGTATGAGCGCACTGGAAACATTAAACATTTAAAGTTGGAAGGAAATTTTGAATTTTGCCAGGGTGGCGGGTGAAGCCTAACCATATCGATTTTAGGACCACCAAGGGATCTTTAAAGTGCTTAACTTGCACACAGGACCTCTAAGACTTTTGCACTTTTTCGAGGAGGCTTAGTTGTTAGATCTTACCTACCTTAAAATCAGGGGTGTAGCTGAAAAAACAGCAGTGATAAAAAGCAAAGGAATAGCAGTAGAAAGGCTGCAGAAAGAGTCAGGAGCCCGCAGGAGGGGGGAAAGGGAGGAGGTGGGTGTGGAGGGGGCAGAAAGGGGAGACAAAAGCAGGCAGACAACAAAACATGGTTAAAGAGCTGGAAAGGAGGTGAAAGGGAAACATGAGGAAAATCTTCCGTCGCTACTAGGTTTCGAACCTATTGAAATAGAGGCGAGCACCGAAACATCTAGTCTACGAAAGACCACTTTTATAACTCCCATTGGTTCCTCTTACCACTTTGTTTCATAACTATCAAGTACAAACTATCACTGCATTTACCTCAAGGATTATACATACCACTCTATTTTCACGACAGGTTGAGTCAAAAAGAGACAGAACCCCAATATCCGTAAACCATCATATGGCATTCGACGCTTCGAATAGCTGAAGTCGAACGGGTAGGGTATAACTGTTTGTCCATACGTCGTGGCCTCCTCTGATTTTGTTTTCACTGAGTAAACATACTGTGCCTCTGAGGGAACACACACACAGGGCCTAGAATAATCATATAGAATGTCCAGCATACTCCCGTTGGTTGGCCATTATCATAACCTCTTTGGTCATTGTAATATTGCGGAAAATATCTCGTAGTTTCTCACTGAAGTATTGGGTGTGGTCACGATTTGTGTGTGTGTGTGTGTGTGTGTGTGTGTGTGTGTGTGC